CAACTCTATTGCCTTGCCCTGACCTATCTCCAGGTTATAATTCTAGCCCTACAGAGTAACACCAACAAAATTAAGGTAGAAATCAGGCCATTCCATACCACATTGGGGTTCAGAGGAGGCCAGTACAGGAGGCCCAAAAAAGACTAGGAATGAGGGGGGGGAGAAATGAGGAAGAAGATAGTCCAGAAGCAACCCAGATACCTGGGAGTCCTTTCTTTGGGCCCTGATAGTGAATGTGCCTTAAGAACAAATGGATTGTGTCTGAGCCATTGGATCTTGGGACAGGAGGGAACAATTTAATTCTAAATTCCACTGAATAGGCAAGGAATAAGGCTGGAGCAATATCAAACCTTGGGTCTATTTCCTGATTGGTTCAGGAGATAGGGCAGAACAAATTCTACAAGGAGTTCATGTTGAATCCTCAGAAATGAGTTGGGGGAGGCAGGGCCAGTGAGTAGGGTCTGGAACCCTATGGCAGCTGCTCACATCCCCCTTCTCCTCTGTGTGCATGGTGGCCCGATGAACCTTGAACCCTGCCGGGGGGCCATCAAAGTCTGACCAATGTGTAAACTGTATTTTTTGCTGTAATTGAGAGCACATACTTGCACTGTCTTCCAGATCAACTCTTAAGCTGCATGGGTTGCAGCCTGCAAACCAGTACAAGTTCCTACCAGTGTGGTGAGATGTCAAATAGCCTGGAAGAGAGAGCCCACGTCCAGCGTAGCTCACTAGACCTTTGCCCTTATTTACAGCATAGTTCAACATAGTGTAGCCCTGCCGGTTAACAGCTCTATGCAAATGGCATTTGGCGCTGAAAGAGTTGGTAAATAATGTGCCATCAAAATTTTTTTCAATTTTTGTTTTCCTCTGAAAGGGTGTTAGCCTTCATGTATGCTGCCCTCAAAATTCAAGTATCGAAAAGGTCTCCATGAATTCAGAAAGAATCAGAGGAATGGATGGCATGATTTTTTTTTTTGAAACTTACAAGTTAAAAAACCAAGATAATAATTAGACATTCTCTTCCTCCCTCTGAAAAAACTAAAATGTACCCAATGGCACTTTGAGAGACAATAGAATGAAGCAAACATTGGCTTCAGAAAATAAAGGCTTTGACCAAAGTCTGACTTTCACATGGTACCTGGCCTTGGGCCAGTCACAGAGCTCTGATTCTCAGCAGCCTCGCCCACACGGTGAACACGTTGCACCAGCCAGGAGCACGCCCTGTCTCAGCAGAGGCCAGAGCAAGAAAAATAAACACGTCAATGGGCCAAGTGTGCTCCTTTGCTCACTAAAAATGTAAATTGTTTTATTGATCTCCACGACAAAAAGCAAATATTGTATCAACTATTTTGTATATAAATAGAAGATATTAATGATAACAATCGTTGCTTTTACTCTATTAAAGTATGATTATCTGGACATTTTTGAGAAGAGACAATAACACAATTTTGTAGTCTTTCCATCCTTACACCTGCTTCAATAGCATCTGAACATTCACGAAGTGCACCCATCGCCATTCATTCATTTTTTTGTCCAAAACACCCTGACAGAAAAGTGAACTTATCATCCCCACTTTACACAAGGAAGAACCAGAGGTCAGAAAGGCTAGAAATGACTTTTTAAAGACAGTGAGTTGACAGCAAAGCAGAAGCAGAAGCTGGAATTAGTTCATTACATACGATGCACAGTACAAACATGATTTTTTATATTGTATAACAAAACGTGCCAGCATACAGAAGATTTGCATAGCTCAGTGAACCAATATTTTCTAAATGACCAATGAATAACATAAAATCATGCCGGGGTACCTTCTACTCCATGCACAGTACAACAAGGTAGGTCAACAGACTTTAACACTACAATATAAAAAGCGCATTTATCTGTGTTCAGATTTCATATTCTAACTAGCCTTTAAGGAAGCATCTGTGAAGTTGCAGAGCAGTGTCAAAGGTAAAGATCCATGATCACCTGAAGGCCAAACAAGGCTGCTTTCTTTGCAACCCCGTATCTGTGTGAAGCTGGGGTTTTTTTTCAACCTCAACCAAAACAACATATCCAAACAGATTAGTAGCAGAAATAATTATGAGAGTCCAGGTACCTTTGAATAAGCCAGACATTAAAGAGATTTACAAGCATGCAAAGCAATGCCACTTTTCTCACTGACTTTTTGTTTCAGAAAATAATAACTTAAAAATTTTTTAAGACTTCTGCCAAGATGGAGGCATAGGTGGAGAAGCCATGCTTTCTCTCACAACCAAGTTTAGAGACAACTAAATATTAGCAACAGAAAACATAGCCAGAACACAGAAAATTGAACTTTTCGGAAGTCTCATAACAACAAATTCTTCAGCCTGACCGGTAAGAGGGACGAAACCAGCAGCTGTAGGAGTGGGGTTGCACAGAAAAACTCGGTCAGACGGACTCGGAGTGCGGAACCCAGGCGCAGGGTTGGACCTAGTAAGCGACTCAGCGAGCAACCCCAGGAAATAGCGAGGGAGCAGGGCTGCAGGTTGACTGTGGTCGCGCTTTCGTGCCCAGATAGACAAGCGAGGGAGTGGGCGGTGAGACTACAGGACTGAGCAGGCCCCACGGCGAGGGGCAGCAGAGGGCGCCGCCATTTCCCCGCTCAGACCCCACCTCCACGTCATAACCCCGTGACTCTGAGTGGCCCCACCCTGGTGAACCACCTAAGGCGCTGCTCCTCACCCAGCAGCGAGAAACAGCAGAGGGGGCCACCATTTCCCCACTCTGACCACGCACCCACATACAGTGTCACAACCCAGTGACCTGAGAGTCCATGGCTCCGCTACTCATACTTAACCGGCGAGAACAGATCAAAAATGGCTCAAGAAGATCTCAAAGCCCCAGAGCCTATAAATCTAAGCGATGAAGAAATAGCAAAACTCTCAGACGCACAGTTTAAAACACTGGTGATCAGGATCCTCACAGAACTGGTTGATTATAGCCACAAATTAGAGAAACATATGAAGGCGAAACTAATTGTAATGAATGGAATTGCACAGGAAACCAATAGCAATGAAAAGGAAACTGGGACTCAAATCAATGGAGTGGACCAGAAGAAAGCAAATAATGGCCAAACAGAAAAGAGTAAAGAAACAAGAATTCAAAAAAATGAGGAGAGTCTTAGGATCCTCCAGGACATCTTTAAATGCTCCAACATCCAAATTATAGGGGTACCAGAAGGGGGAAAGGAACAGCCACCAGTGGAAAACTTATTGGAACAAATAATAAAGGAGAATTTCCCCAATCTGGCAAAGGAAATAGACTTCCAGGAAATCCAGGAAGCTCAGAGAGTCCCAAAGAAGTCGGACCCAAGAAGAAACACACCAAGGCACATCATCATTACATTAGCCAAGATTAAAATGAAGGAGAGAATCCTAGAAGCAGCAAGAGATAAGGGGACAGTCACCTACAAAGGACTTTCTATCAGACTGTCAGCTGATTTCTCAAAAGAGACCTTACATGCAAGAAGGGGCTGGAAAGAGGTATTCCAAGTCATGAAATCCAAAGACCTACATCCAAGATTGATCTATCCAGCAAAACTTTCATTTAGAATGGAAGGACAGATAAAAAAAAAGTGCTTCTCAGATAAGATCAAATTCAAGGAGTTCATCATCACCAAGCCCTTATTATATGAAATGTTAAAGGGACTTATCTAAGAAAAAGAAGTTAAAGAAACATGAACAGTGAAAGGACAACAAACTCACAGTTATTAACAACCACACCTAAAACAAAAGCAAACTAAAAGGACAGCTAGATCAGGAGTGGAAACATAGAAATGAAGATCTCAAGGAGGGTTAGCAACAGGGGAGGGGGAGGAGGAGAAGGGGAGAGAAGGTACAGAAAATAAGTAGCATAGACAGTAGATAGAAAATAGATGGGGGGGCAAGAATGGTATGGGAAATATAGAATCTAAAGAACTTGAGACACATGGTCATAAACTAAAGGGAGGATAATGGTGGGGATGGGGGGGTAGGGTGGAGGGGAATTAAAGGGGGAATAGAACAACTGTAATGGCATAATCAATAAAAAATAAATTTAACAAAAAATAAAAATAGAAAAAAATTTTAATGCTATTTATTTTAACATATAAGTTTATTGCTATTATTGTTAATGAATTAATAAATAAATGTTTTTATCTTCATCAGTTTTCATTTATAGCACAGCTATAAATGAAAGCACTTTCATTTATAAGCACTAAGCATTCATTTAAAGCACTAAGCATCCAGCTCAGGACATTAGGTAAAAACAAAGAGAAAGATAAAATATAAATGGAGAAATGAATGAAATGGAAAACAAAAATAAAACAGAGACAACAACAAAGCCAAGTGCTGGTTCTACAAAAAGAAAAATGAACTTCTTATAAAATCAACTTTTAAAATAGATGCTCAAGCAAGAATCCACAAATTAATGTTTCATCTCCGTTTCCTTCCATGTGGCCTCAGTTCCCAAATGCCCAGCCTCCAGCTGTCATTTCTTTTGCTTTAGGTCAGCTAAAAGGGTGTGCTTGAAATTATATCCTAAATGAGCAAAGTGCACAACTGATTAGGCAACCCCGTGGAGTCTGTGGCAGTTCTCCAGACACCCCTGCCTCTCCTGGCCAAGCAATAGCAGCTCTGGGTCCTGTGATCCTGGGTGTGTGAGGGGACCAGGCTGCGGGCAGAACAAGCTCTTCTGTCTACCTGAGGATAAAAAGAGCACAAGGGAGGCTGAGAATCTGAAGTAGAAGAAGGTGGAAGTGAAGCTCCTGGAAGGAAACCGGGTGCGACCTGGGAAGCTAAGCCAGCAGACAACAAATCAGAGATGGGTCTAGGTATTTTATCCAGAGCCAGCTCCGCACTCGTTCACGAGGCCTGTGAACACCTCATTCCGGCGGGATCTGGGGTGCTGAAGGGCCCCCCACCATGGCCGCAGGAAGTCTTTTTGTTGTAGCATTTTGAGAATTTTCTTTTTGTTGTATGTTTTCCATGTTTCTGCTGCTGCTTTATAATAGCTTTTCTACAGGGACTGCAAACCCCTCACAGTCTTGGTCATCTTTATAAAATGGAGGCCCATTCACCAAGGCTATCCCAAGATGTGTAGACCAAACACTCACCCAAATCACCCAAACCACATGGTTTTATTTCCATGGAAGACAAAGAACTGTGAGCCAGGTGCAAAGAGTCATTGCCAGCTTCATAATTGCAGAGGGAAAATGTCATTTCAAAACCATAGGTGTGGAACTGAGGCCGGCAGAGGACAGAGGTGCTGTTACACAGGTTAAATAATTGCCAACCACACCAGACATTATAAACTAGTAATAGCAACACTCAAACTTTGAAATCTATTTGTTGTTAATGTACCTTAACCACAGCTGAATAAACTCTTCAAATGAAAATACAGGAGCTCATTTTCTCACATCAAAAGCTGGTTCCAGGCCTTTTGACTCTTGAAATGATCAGTCATTAATCTGCTAAAATATTCCATGTAGTTGGAGAGAAATCCCTGCATTTCAATTTATTGGAAACTCAATTCAGAATTCAATTAAAAATATCAATATTCTTCATTCAGAGAAACAGCCCCCAAATAACTCTTTCATTTCCAATTTTAATTAAAGAAACTGTCTAAGAATTTTATGTTCTGTTGCTTTCCATGATCATTAAAAAACAAAAAGGGACTAAAAGTGGTTGATATTATCCTTACAGTAATGACATTAAAGTTCTCACCCTAGTCATTTATAATCACCATGAATAAGTGAAATGTATGTGTCTGTTTATTTAACTTCTAAGGAAAGGGGCCTCATTTGCTCTCCAGTAATTTCTTCAACATAATAAAACTCTGACTTAAACAATAATTTTCTAAAAAAAAAAAAAGAATTTTCTTCTGTTTCTATACCTAGGTATGATCTCTAGGGACCATTATAGTCTTTTTTATACCTTACATTTTGATTTATTTCTGTTTATACATAAAGCTACCTTCTATGCTTTTGACGTCTCTGACACAGAAATCAGAAATAATATTTATAAACAATATCCGCATCTGCCCAGTTAATACAATATATAATGATTTGACTGACTGCTCCAAGGTTTGTATTATATTAGCATTTGTATTCTTACTATCTATTAAATTTAAGACATAGATAAGGCAATAAATCTCTAAGCTAATGCTTATTACATGAGACTGTAATTCTCATGCATTCTTCTTAAAATTACCATAAATAAAATGCATTCTCTTGTTTCAACCTATTTTCCTCCTTTGCAACCTGAATGTTATTTTGGTTAAGAACTGTAATATAATTCCACGATAAGTCTTAGTGCAAATAGTTAGAAGTACATGTGCAGGCCTGTACTTAGGGTAACAGCGGCTCATCTTATTTAAATAAAACATGGCTCCCGTGCAAGAGCAACACTGAATTCTCACCCAAAACTGTCTAGCTCGTAAATGATGTGCAAATGAAGTGCTCCCCAAATAGGCATTCAATGAGCATTAAGAGGGGAAACCATGACAGTCCATCATTTCAATGGTCCCAGAGCAAAGCGCCTGGGTCGCTTTGAACACCAGAGTGTGACAGCATTGTTCAGGCAGCGGAGTCCAAACTCAGTGAAAAAGGGGGAATGAAAATAGGACCAGGGGTCACCGATGGCTGCAGCCTGGGCCCCTCGCCCCAGAGGGCGCAGCTGGTCACTTTTCCAGACCGGGCTCACCAACCTGGTGCCCAGGAGGGAAGATTGCCTGTGGTTATTCCTTAAGTAAATGCTGAGTGACTGATATGGAAATAAGCCAATCAGTTGACTTTGTGTTTGAATCCCGGGGGCAATGTTCTGGAGATGCTCCCCAAAAGGACTAGAAGTGCTCCCTGAGGCAGCACAGAGCCGCAGCACAGAACCACAGCTCCTGGCTTTGCCTCAGACCTTAAAGGTCTGCAGGGTGAATGTCAAATGATTGTCTTCTCCACAGGGGGTTAGATTAAAAACACTCTGCCTTTGGCCAACCAAGGACTAACATTTGCACATCCTTGCCTGTAAAAGGAGTCCCTGTACAATAGTCCAACTTCAGGAATAATGTATCCATCAAATAGGAAAGTAGGCCTAAAGCTACTGTGGGGTCCCCACAGGCCCCAGCACCTTCTACCAAGCCTTGAACGTAGTAGTACTCAATGTTATGTTATACAAGTCAACCTTGGGTTACTGATTATCGAGGAGTGATTTATACCATCCATCCACCCACTTCAGTCCCATGCCCTCGGCTGCATCTGCCCATGTCCAGATGGAGGTGGGGGTGAAACCTGTGTCACAGAACACAATGATCTTCACTCAGTTTATGAGAAAATTATCCATAATTTGGCCTCATTAAATCATCTCAACTGGCACCATCAACCCACTAAATGTTCCATAAGAAAATTAAATACCCAAGTGTCAGCATCAGAGAATGTATTTCCAGGTAGCACACACACATACGGCACAAGAGACACACATGAATGTGTGTTACACCAGACATACGCTGTGCAGTTATCTGACCTCGCATATTGGGTTATTTTCCAAATGAATTTTTCAAGAGAAAATCTGGATTTCCATTATTTTTTATGACATTTCCTTTTCAATATAGGGCTATAATAATGTAATTAAATCTTTGTTTAATATTTAGGGTTAACCTTAGAAATATAAGTTAATGTTCTCACCTAGAATACAGGGGTGATGATCTCCGGGACTATTAATGTACATAGAACTCCCTTTTATAGTTACACAGAAAAGCTTTAATTTGGGGGGGAACAGTGCCTGTTTTGGGTTACTTTTCTGTTTTTTGAGGATTTGTGTCCTCGAACAAGAGATTATCACTTTTCTCTGCCATCATGTGCGTGACTCTAATGTTCTTCTTTCCTCCTCACCCCAACCCCACACCTCACTATATTTTCTGCTTCTAAAATGCTTGTTGGAACAGTTCAGTCACTCCATTCTTCATTCTACAAGTATTTAATGAGCCTCTACTATGTGCCAGTCACCGTTTGGGGGATAGCATAAACTCATTCTCATGAAACCCACAGCTGGTGGGTGCAGACAGATATTAGGCAAAGAATCACACATGTAAATGCAACATCACCTCTGAGGTATGAGAGGGCAGTGGTGCAGGAGAGAACCCAGAACTAGTCAGGGAACCGTGGGAGACCTCCTTGAGCAAGTGATGGGTGAGCCGATTTCCTGAAGAGTGAACTGGGTGCATGAGGCCATGGAGAGCATTCCTAGCAGGAAATGCTAGCATTCCTAGCAGGGGGAAACTCCTGCGCAGTGCCCTGTGGTGAAAAAGAATGAGGAAAATCTACAAGAAGGGACCCCTGTGGCCGGTCTCTATCCTAAGAGCAATAGAAGGCGGTTGAGGTATAACCGAGTGGAGCACAGGTGACAACAAATTTTGCATTTTGAAAACACCCCGTTGGCTGCAGAGTGGAGGACAGTTCAGATGAGGGCAAGTGTGCTACACCCATCAGGAAAGTGTGGCAATGAACCCAGTGAGAAATGACGGTGGCTTAGACAAAGGCAGGTGTTATCTGTCCAGGCTCCACAGAAATTGGCAAACTTGGGTAGGAAAAAACCCCATCTTTCCTTTCACCAACTTCTGATTGAGAGTTAGTGTCTCCTCCCATGATGAATGAGGGCAGTGGACCACAGCAGCACCAGCAGCACTTCTCCTTTGCAACCACGGGGAATCACAGGAGTGCTCCGGTCACGTCACATTGTTGCAGATACATGAAGGTGTCAATTATGCTCATCACTGCTTGAAAATCACAGTAGCTGTTAGGCCTGTCACTATAGGATATTATACATTGCATTAATAAAGAAGCACACATTATTGTAACTCAATTTTTAACATATTTTGCTAACTGTACTTTAATATAATTGCTTTCTTTAGGAATTGTATGTATTTTATTTAATGAATTTAAGTCTTATTCTGAAAAAAAGCCCTTATGTCCCACAAGTAAAGAGCCCCCCCCCCCCGGGGTCAAGGGCAGTGGGCAGTTGGAGAGCCATTTAGAAGGCCTGACCTGGCTGGGGTAGAGTGAGGGGAGGAAGGCATCTGGGGTCACCCCTGGGGTGTGGCTCATGGGAGCGGATGGGCAGTAGAGCTCTGGTGTTTTATTCAAGGCAGAAAATACTGGAAGAAGATCACAAGAACACCTATGGATAAAGTGTAAGGGCTTTAGTTAATAGACAGGGACATCCGTTCAGACATTTTTTTCACTTTTTGGCTCTCAGCTAAGTTGCAGATAATTGAGAAATATTAGTAAGTTCAGTGTCATCATGAACACACACACACATGCACACACACAAATAAGGATTGTTATCAAGAAAATTACAAGTTTCTATTCATAAAACAATTCCCAGTTATGAAACACTTATCAAAAAGTCTGCCATTTCCTCTACATGGTCAGATTATTTTCCAGGGGAGTGAATTTCTTTTCCCAGAGGATTCCAGTTTCCACTTATACCTTCAGTGAGGCAGTGGTGTCCTCACCCAGCGTCTCCCCGGGGCCCAGTTCTCTCCTATTCATTTAAGACCAGAAAGTCCTACTGCTTCTCCTGAAAAAGTCAGGACAGCACCAACCCAAATACCCTCATTAATTCTATTGCTACACATGAGCAACCTACTGACTTTGCCAAAGTAATTAAACAAAGGAATCATGAGTCACTAGCCAGAGTTCCTTTGCTCACTTCCTCCCAGCCTCCTGCCAGCTCTCGCATCTGGCATCCGGCCAGGGCAGGGCCACTAACAGGGGAGTTTAAATTCGTTGTTATGTTTCCTCTTCCATTTACCTTCAAAACTGTATCGACCTTCTAACACTAATGCATCTGTAGTACAGTTTTCAATATGAGAGTATTATGCTAAGTGAAATAAGTCAGATAGAGACAAATACCGTATGATTTCACTTATATGTAAAATCTAAACAAACAAAAACAAAAACAGAAGCACTCATAGATATAAAGAAGAAGCTGAAGGTTGCCAAAGGGGAGGAGGGGATGGTAATAAAAATTTTAAATAGGTAAATAAATAAATAAGAGAGTCAGGGTATCTAAGTGGTGGTTTGTTCTTGGCTACGCAGGAACTGGATAGAAATGTTCACATTTTCTGCTATTTTTTCTTTCTCCTGTGAAAAGAACACTTTGGGCAAAATAAATTCAAACGCTGGTACACATTATCTGAGAAAAAGTGGTTTTCCTTGCCCTTACCTTTCTCAGGTGTCCATGAACATTGTGCCGGCATGAGACCATTGCAATGACTTGTTCCTTTTCATTTTTGTCTGCTCACCAAGCCCCAACTCCTTGTGGAAAAAAAAACCAAAGAAATCAAAGCCATAGGAATTTTATTTTTAAGTCTCTCAGCATCAAGAACTATGATTTATGCTATGCTCAGTGAAATCGATTCCAGTTGCCCTGCCTTCAAATTTCCAGAATGTAATACAAAATATAAATATTTTATTTGATTTATGTACCTATTATTGCTTTTGAGAATACACTCAAGACAAAAAAAAATTTTCAAAGGCATCAATGTTATAACTGTTATAAATAGGCTGGTTCTTGAGTAATTTCTTCTTCATAGTATATAGCATTTTAACAAAAATTCTTTGCATCAAATTGGTTACTTCTATTTTGTTTTGTTTTCCTAATTTTCCAGATTAAAGTCTGTCTGGCTAACTGAACTGCCTGACAGTTGGAGTACCTCAGCCCAGTGGCTAGACACATTTCTCAAACTTTATGAAGGGGAGACCCAAAGAAACCCAGAATTATCTTCTGGAGGGCAGGCCCCTTGTAGTACAGGCTCCCCCTGCTAGGTGAGTGTTCTAGGAACCCACCTGTATCAGGGCACCAGCTGGCGTGGTTGTGAGAGGCTGTGCTCAGCTTTAGTGCTTATTTGAACATATTTGCCAATTTCATGATAGGTGATTTACAAGTGCACCTGGCCACACCACACAGACAGTGTTCAGCAGTTTTTGACCAAAAATGACATGAACCCCATGCCCCACCCTCCCAATTCACCTGATCTACCTCGAATGACATTTTTGCTTATTTGTTTTCCCAGGGAAAAAGTCCTGAAAAGGAAATGTATTTGCTGATGTGGAAGAGGTGAAACAAAAAATGGCAGATGCACTAAAAGGCATAAAAAATTGATGAGGTCAAAAACCATTTTGAGCAGTGGGAAAAAGTCTCCATAGGAGTATTGCATCAAATGAGAGTACTTTGAAGGTGACTGAAGCTTAAACATGTAAGAATAAATACACAATTTTTAATAAATAAATTCCTGGGGTCCCCCCTTGTATTTTTTTATTTACCTACTACATAAATGATACAGAATAAATGTTCAAGTAAAGAACTTAGAAAAAAACAACACAGAGTACTCGTAAATATACCTGCCTCACACAACGTGATCTCCTTTCTAGGGAAGAGAAGGCGTATTTGCTCATTGCTCTAACAAAGCATAACATAATCTGCATGTGTTAGAATTTTTTTGAATAGTCATTTGCAAAGCTTCAAAACACAAACCAGCAAAAAAAAAAAAGAAAGAAAAAGTATCCATCATTGTCTGATACCAGGAAGAACAGTGCCTCGGGAACAGCTGGAGCAGGCCTCGGACACAGCCAGAGACCTCCTCCTCCCACCTTCTCCCTGGAGCCTCCACTGGCCACTCTCTCTCAACGACCTTTACCTACCCTGCTAGAACCAGAGCCACTTACAATTCAGATGTTTGCATCTTCTCAGCATCAAGGCGAGAAAGTTAAAGAAACTCTTTTTCCCTTCTACTAGCTTCTGTTTTTTTAAAATGACAAGGAACCATGTAGCTCAGTTGGTTGCAGCAACATCCTGTAAACTGAAAGGTTGCAGTTCGACTCCTGGTCCGGGCACATGCCTGGGTTGCAGGTTCAGTCCTTGGTCAGAAGCGTTTGAGAGGCAACTAATCAATGCTTCTCTTGCATTGATGTTTCTCTCCCTCTCTCCTCCCTCCTTTCTCCTCTCTAAAACTAATAAGCATGTCCTCAGGTGAGGATTTAAAAAAATAACAAGGAAGGACTCTGACTGGTCTTGTCTCCGACACATGCTCATTCTCAGATAAATCACAGTTGTCGGGGAATACAGTGCTCCCATAGACCCGGCTGCTGCCAGCTCCCTGCCCAGTGACAAGCACGCCTCCATTTTGAATCATATATTAGACCAGCTGTGTCCAAAAAGGCAGTCTCAGAAGGAAGAGGAAATGCTAAGCAAACAAAATAATAAATGGTCACCAATTCGTGTGGCAATCATGATTCTTCCCTCTTTCCCAGATGAGATACTGCCCTGGTTTGACATTTAAGATGCCAGAGGTCAATGAGAAGTACTTTATACAAAAGGCCTTGTTCCCCCCGCAAATGAAATTACAATTAGGTAAGTCGTTAATATGATGCAACATGAGAAGAAATAATTCTAGAGGGTGGGGGAGTGGGGCGATGGTCACTGTCACAAAATTTCAACCACGCAATTTCAATTAGGAGTGAGTTCTGGAAACCTGATGTACAGCATGCTAGCTAGTTAGTAAACTGTATTGGGTATTTGGAATTTGCTGAGAGTGTAGACCTTAAATATTCTCACCACAAAAGGTAACTAACTATGTGAGGTGAAAGACATGGTCATTAGCTTGATTGTGGTAACCATTTCACAACGTATATGTGTAATCAAAACATCATGTTGTACGTCTTAAATATACACATTTTATTTGACAATCATGCTGCAATAAACATGGAAAAAATAAATTGATGTAGCTCATTTTCAGATTTTCACAAAAAAGACTAATTCTATAGCAACATTAGGTGAACTTCCCTCCTCCCATTTCAACCATTCTCTGATATTCAAGTGGACAGTCCTGGAAGGAAAGCAAAACATTGGAAGATTCTTTTTTCTCGTCATCTATAATAGGCTGCATAGGCTACAGTAATAATTTTAGAGTGCATTAACAATCTTTCCACGGGAAAATAAATGCTCTAGAATCATCCTACGTCAGCTAGGCCAGCAGTGCCCACGCCACTAAAGGAAAGAACCGAAACACAGGCTGTTAGTGGGAATGGCCGTTCCCTTCTCACACAGACCTAACTGAGCAATTCTAGGAGCCAGCGTAAAGGTGTCTTTCCCACTCAGTGTTGGGGCCACGACCAACGGACACACAGGACTCAGAACCAGAGGGGCTGGTGGCTTGCCAACCCCGCAGGCAAGGGGCTCCACTGCTCTGGACCACCCTCTCCTTGGTCATAAAAATGATGGGATCAGGGCAGAAAAACTTAAAGGTGTTTTCCAGTTCCAAAATAATATAATTCTAACAGAAAATTAGTTGACATAACTGGGACATAAAAGAGCCATTTGTTTTATCACTCAGAGTAAAGTCAGTTGTCAGCCTCTCATTTATTGCACATTTGCACAGCCTCTTCCCGCCCTCTGGGCCGGGCTTCGGAGGAACAGGATGAGCACATTTCAGTCCTTGTCCTCAAGGAGTGCACAGGCTGGGCGGGCAGCGGGGAGACAGGCGTGTATAAAGATCATTAAAACACAGTGTTGCAAACACTCCGGGAGAGGAGCAGACAAGGAGCAGGGGGAGGAAGTGACTAACTCACCTGAGAGAAGCCTCACAGAAGAGCTACTGTTCAAGAGGAGCCTGGAAAGGTGAGTTCAACACTGCAGGGCTTTCCACAGGAGTTAAGCACGCTCAGACCTGCCTTCCAGAAGCTCCCTGGTAGCAGAAAAGAGGGTGGATCAAGGGGAAAGGGCCTGAGGGCAGGGGCGCTGAGCCGTTGGGAAGCTCCTGCATTAATGGTTGCATTTAGGCAACGGCAGGGGCAAGGGAGAGAGAAGACAGGCGCTGCTGAGGGAGGGGAAGGGCCCCCCCACCCCCAGGGCCTGTGAACTGACTCCCATTTACCCTGTGGGGGAGGAAAGACTTTTATTGTACCCTCTTATGTTTAGCACCCAGGGGTGAATCATTAAACTAACAAAAGGAACATTAACAGGAGAAAAGGCACCCAGCTTTTGTTAATATTTACATGCGTAGGAGTTCACAGAAAAAAAGCCGTCAGACTCAGAGGCTTACACACCATTTTAACTAAGGAAAGGGGGTTTGGGCTTTGAGGGAGGATAAATCATGGGGGCGTGACTAGGAAATACAAGGGGGACTAATGGAAGGTAAGTTAGTTTAGTAAATGCTGTCGTGCAAGCTCATCTCAGTGTTGACTGTCTTGCTCTTCCCTTCCTGGTGGTGGGGCAGGTACCTTTATGAACAGAAATTGATGTCCTCCTTTTAGGCAGATGAGGGTGGGCAGAGAACCCTTCCGACGTCTGTTCTTTCTCAGTCACCTTCCGGTCACACTACTCCTTGTGCCGAACTGGCATATCGTGGGCGCCACATTCTGATCCCCTCCAACCACAGATGTGGTTTTGAGTTTGACCTCATTGAGCCTCACTTTTTCACCTCTAAAATGAGAATAAAACTTGACAGATTTGCAATGAAAACATAGTGACACAATCCATTTAAACCACTCAAGACAATAGTAAGTGTCTGCCAATATAAACCATCATTTTTGTTACCATGCAGCACTATCCAGTCCTCCCCAAGGGCACAGGCCCAAGCAGAGCCGCCCAGGCTGCACAACATCAGCCTGGGGTTCATGCAGGCTGGGGCTCAGCGGGCAAGCAAACCCAGAGTGACCAGGGGCAGAGAGAGCTGGAAAATGAGGGACAAAATGGCCTTTGGGTGTCAAGGGTAAAAGCTATAAAGCCAGAATCTGTCCCTGAGGTTAAAGGACTAGTATGTCCTTTAGGTTAAAGGCTACAATAGGAAATGAAGACAAGAAGGTCACAAAGTCTCAGGGACTAAGTGGGAACCCAGAACGAGGTTTTGAGAGAGGAAAGAAGGTCCCAGAACAGTTGCTTCTGTGGACAGGACTAAGGAGCCCAGGGTGTGGGTGGCCCTTTGGTCAACGTGGATTAAAAGTCCAGCTGGACCAAGCAGACACTGCTGACTACTCCAGTGACCTTGAAGACACCTCCCAACAAAAGACTGAAGAGCCGTGTTGTGAAGAATCTCTCCACTTCCAAGAACGAGAGAATGTGAAGCCTTCCACCAACCCTCACAGCAACGGGGACAGCATTCACCCTTCCCATTCTTCCCATCCAAGATTGAAGACCTGAGGGATGAGATCATTGAACAAAATAACTTTCAACTGACTTACCAAGCCCTGTTCGAAACGGTTTTCCCAAATCAATCCCTTCACCCTCACAGGCCTACAAAGTATATGCGCTCATCACCTCTGCTTAGGAGATGAGTAAGGTGAGGCTCAGAGAGGGCGAGGCACCTGGGCGAGCAGCAAGGCCCTGGCTCCCCGACATCAGGGCCGCCCTGAACCACTCTGCTCTACTGCCTCATGCCGGGCCAAGATGCCGGGGAAGCCGGAGGAGAGGAGAGGGAAGTCCGGACTGCTCCCTCTGAGAGCAGAGGGAGCATGGACAAGGGTAAATACCTCCGAGTTCCTGGGAGAGGAAGGAAGTAGAGGTTGTGGAGACTTGACAGTCGATATTTTCTTGTAAAACCCAAGCTTGGTTTATGCGAAAAAGTTGGAAGTGGGTAACGGTGGGAAGGCATGAGGCCAAGGCTTTCCGGGAAGGTGCCCGAGACCGTGAGAGGCTGCAAGGGGGGCTAGTGGTGGGTGCTGCCCTAGTGGGGGCGGGCCTCCCTGGGACAGACGCTGCTCATGGAGTTAGGAAGCCCCAGGGGCCTTTAACAAGCCCCGGCGCCAGAGTTCTGGTCTTTCTAAATGATGATTTGGGGATTTCAGCACAATATTCAGGGGGCCCCATTCTGATGTTTGCCTATAGAAAGGGTGAACCTTAATATTTATGACGGGACCCCAATTCAGCAGTGGCAGCATCCCCTGGAAGCTTGTTAGGAAAGCAGACTCTGCCCCACCCCTCAGATTTTACTGAGTTAGAATCTGCATTTTAACCAGACCTCGGGCGATTCGTGTTTGCATGGGGGTGGGGATGGGGTTAGAAGTACTGCGGTGGAAGACGGAACGCCCAACCCCAAAGCAGCTGTTGAAGCCTCCAAGTCACAAAGTCCACAGTCTCGTTACCCGGATTCCCATGACGTAACCCTCTGGAGAATGACAGGTGCTCCAGCTTGAGTCAGCAACTCTCCCACAGCCTTGGTACCGAAGTCCAGATGGAAGATGGAATGTACGACTCCATAATGATCTCTGAACGGAGCAGGAAGCGGATCTGCATGGGTAGCCTCCACAGCAGAGCGTTCCCACCCGTGTCCTACAGCCCCGGGGCAGCGTTTCCCTCATCATCCGGTCCCTGCACTTCCCTGTGCCAGGCGCTCTCCTAGCTGCTGGGGAAACCACAGCAAATGAATCATGCAAAAATCCCTGCCTTCGAGATGCTAGCGTTCTAAGAAAGAAAATAATTCAAATCAGTCAAAAATATTCAGTTTGGCCCTGGCTGGTGTAGCTCAGTGCACTGAGCGCGGGCTGTGAACCAAAGGGTTGCTGGTTCGATTCCCAGCCAGGGCACAGGCCTGGGTTGTGGGCCAGGTCCCCAGTAGGGGGCACACAAGAGGTAACCACACATTGATGTTTCTCTTCCTCTCTTTCTCCTTCCCTTCCCCTCTCTCTAAAAATAAGTAAGTAAAATATTTTTTAAAATAATGTAGAACCTCTATTAAAAAATATTGTTTGCTAGATAGTTTAAGTACTATGGAGGAATACAAAGCAGGAAAAGGTATAGACAATATCAGTGGTAGTTTGCACTTTTTAATTTACCTATTTAATGAGGAAGTTGGCTGTTTTGCTATTAAACTTCCTTGTTACCTGGAAGGCTGCTGCTTTGCTGTATAAAAATAGCTCCAGCAAAGTCAGCGTGTTGCAAAATTAGGATAGTATTATTTGTCATCTGACACTAACAATGAACAAAAACCATCTCCACTGCCAGCTATTTCCAATGGAAAGATTATTTTGACCCAAATCAGAGACAGATGTAAGCTAGTTACAATATTATGTAAGCCTTAAGATAACAATGTTATCCTTGAATTATGTTATTTTGTAACTAGATTTTACCACAGATAATTCCAGGAATTCTGATATTATAACTGGAGCCTAGCCTAAAAATCACAGGGCATTGTGACAAAGGTGCGTATCATGCTTATCTGGGATCATTATTTTATTCCAGTAGCATTGTTGTAGTTTCTTCTCACTGGTATTACTAGAAGTTGCTATTTTAAACCTTTTATCTACCATTAATCTAAGACACCCATACTGGATTATTAAATTGTTTCATACTTTATTTAGGGGGGTTTCACTTTCATACGCTTCTTCATTCATTAGTTCATTCAGTTCTGCAGGGTTACTCAGTGTCGTCTTGATAAGCCAACCCTCTTTATAACAAGATCCGTGTGGGGATTCCGGCAGGGAGGGAGTACAAGGGGACTAAATGGTAATGAAAAAAGTACAAGAAAATTAAGTAAAAAAGAAAAAAATTTGTGGACAGGTCCTGGATTTGCTGCAAGAGCTTCATTAATTTCAGTCGTGTTTCCTGATAGAGGAGAACAGAGTCTGCTAGCAGCTTTCACCCTTTCCAGAGCACCAGACTCATCTTGTGTGTTCAACTTTGTCTCATCTTCAGGCAGACTACAGTAAACAACATCTCCCAAAGCTTGCTATGCAAAATGGCTCATTCCCAGTGTCCCAACACCATACTCTGTTTCTGTCCTTTCGTGTTTCTCTGTGAATTTACACACAGAGAGCAGAATGGGGCAGGTCCGCGGTGCTCAGACAGCGCCAGCCCTCAGGCCCCACAGCCAAGCACAGGCTGCAGGACATGGCTCCATGCTCCATGCCACAGGGAGCGCCACGTTCACCGAGGTAGTTTTCGAGCCCTGCAGGCCTCCCAGAGAAGGTGACCTTACATAAGGCCCAAATACCTTATAATATTGTAACAGCAATCTGGAGGGAAGAGCGCTGCAGGCACCATAAACAGCCAGTGCAAGGGCCCTGGGTCCAGAGCGTGGCTGGCTTGCTGGAAGGGCAAGGATTTCTGTATGGCTGCAGAGGAACGAACAAGATGAGTAGCACAGTTGGTCAGAGTCAGCACTAGGCCAGGCCTGTTGGGCCTTACACAGCACAGTTAGAATCTTCCCTTCTACCAAGAGTGAGCTGGCCAAGCAAAGAGGGTTTTGAGCAGCGGCATGATGTGGTCTGACTTACGTTGTAACAGCGTCTCTCTAGCTGCTGGTCAAGGATAGACAGAAGCAGGGAGAGCCGTAAGCAGGCTGCTGGAAGAGTCCAGCCAGGGGGCTTGGAGCTGGGTGATAGTGGTGGCTGTGATGAGGAGAGGCTGGATTCTGGATATTGAGTGAAGGTAGAGCCAAGAGGGTTTCCTGGCCTGTTGTTGAATGTGGAGTGACCCCAGGATTTTTGGATTGAATCCCTGGGAAGATGAAGTTTGCCATCATCTGAAATAAGGAAGACCGCAGGCAGGTCAAGCCAAACAAAAGATTCTGGAACAGCAGAGCATGGTGCAAAGCACTGGAAAAAAAAAAAAAAAAAACGAGTCATGTTTTTATTTCATCTGTTCTGGGAGCAAGTAGTTTTTAGTTTTAGTCAGAAAAGTGAAGTTAGGTGTTTGCTCCTCCCTTACTTTAAAGGATGAATGAGAATATCCAATTACCAAATCCTTGCCAAATGTCAGCAGTGAGCTGGCACCAAATGCATCTGAGCTGGTACATCGCCCTGGGCACAAACAGTGAGGATCCTGCTCACTGCGATGGAAACCATAGGCTGGATCGAAACAAGAAACCGGCTAAGCGCTGTGAGTCACGCTTCCTGGCACTCCTGCGACGTCTTGATTCTCTCAGAACAAACCTTTAGTTAATGCTGCTTGGTGCTTGGCTTCTTCAGTCACAACCGAGAAGAGCCCTTCTCTGCCTACAGGGCCGCTACCAGGACCAGCAAAAGACCTGCCCAGGCACAGTGTGGCCAGGCTGATTGGCAGTTGGAGAACTCTTTTTTTCCAGCTTATAACTGACATACCACATCGAGTAAGTATAAGGAGTACAATGTCATGATTTGAGAAATGTATGCATTTCAAACTGTTTACCACAGTAAGGTTAGTTAACACATCATGTAAGTACCATTTTGTTGTGGTTGTTGCTACAGTGAGAACATTAAAGCTCTGCTTTCACAGCAACTTGCAAGTTTACATCATAGAACTGTTAAATATGGTCACTGTGTGGTGCATCGCATTCCTGAAACTGATTCACTAACAACTGTAAGATTACACCCTATCACTAACACCTTCTTCCCATGTTCCCACCCATCAGCCCTGGCTACCACCATTCTACTCTCTGTTTCTATGAGCTCAACGATGCCACATAAAGCGAGATCTTGTGATATTTGTGATATTTCTCTGCCTGACTTACTTCACTTAACATAATGCCCTCAATGTCCATCCATATTGTTGCAAATTGTTGTAGGGTTTCCTTCTTTGCTGTGGCTGAGTAATACTCCATTACGTAGCTATGATACATTTCTTTATCCACTCATCTCTTGATGGACACTTAGGTCATTTCCATGTTTTGGCTATTGTGAATAATGCTGCAATGAATATAGAAATGCAGATATCTCTTCAAGGTAGTGATTTCATCTCCTTTGGATATGTACCCATAAGATGGAATTACTGAATCATAAGGTAGTTCTTTTTTTAAGTTTTTCAGGAACCTCTATACTGTTTTTCACAATGACTGCACCAATTTACATCTACCAACAGTGCACTAGGAATCCCTTTTCTGCACATCCTCACCAGCATTTTTAATCTCTTGTCTGTTCGGCAATAGTCATCCTGCCAGGTGTGAGGTGAAATGTTAGTGTGGCTTTGCTGTGTATTTGCCCAATAGTTAGTGACAGTGAGTGCCTTCTCATGTACATGTTAACCATTTGTATGTCTTTGTTGGAAAATTATCTATTCAAGTACTCTTCCATTTTTTAATTGGACTGTTTCAACTTTTTTGCTATTGAGGTGTACGAATGTCTTACATATTTTGGATATTAACTTTATCAGGTATATGGTTTGCAAATACTTTCTTCTACTCCATAGGTTGCCTACTCATCTTTTTAAAATAATTCTGTTGTATTTTTTCCATTACTATTTAGTCCCCTTCCACCCTGCTCCCAGCCACAATAACCACACTGATGTCCATGCCCATGAGTCCTTTTTCCTCTTTGCTTAATCCCCCCACCCCGTACCCTCCCCAAGCTTAGCTGTCAGCCTGCTCTCTGTGAGTCTGTCTTGCTTGTTTGTTCAGTTTGTCCATTAGATTCCACATATGAGTGAAATCATGTGGTATTTGTCTTTCTCTGGCTTATTTCACATAGCATAATTTTCTGGACTACTACTCAGCCATAAAAAAAAGAGTTTTTGCTGTGCAGAAGCTTTTTAGTTTGATGTAGTCACACTTACTGATTTTTGCTTTTGTTGCTTGTGGTTTTGGTGTTGTATCCAAAAGAAAATCATTGCTAAGACTGGTGTTAAGAAGTTTTTTCCCTATGTTTTCTTCTAGTTTTATAGTTTCAGTTCTTATGTTTAAGTCTTCAGTCCATTTTTAGTTCATTTTTATGAGTGGTATAATAATATAGGGTCCAATACCATCCCTTGCCTGCAGATACCCAGTCCGCCCAACACCATTGGGCAAGTTGAAGAGACTGTCCCTTCCCCACTGAGCACTCCTGGCAGTTGGAGACCTCTCGATTGAACCTTTATGAAAATCGATAATGCCAAGACCACCTGACATTCAAATCTGGTTGTCATTTTAAAAAAATCACAATTTATACACTACCCTCTGAAGAAAATCTGGCTTATATTATACGTTTTCAGCACTGGGATCTTTTTCAAAATTCATCAGTTTAATGAGTTTACAGATGGTGAAAAGAGTCTACAGACTAGTCAGAGCTACACAGTTAGTTAGAAGCAGAGCCAAAACAAAGATACCTCCCACCCCAACTCCATCACAGCCGACTTCCGGGACCAGGCTGGGCAGCGCACTGAGGGCCACAGGCAGGCCAAGAAATGGCAGCCCCCACAAGCTCTTGCAGAGAGAACACGTTGAACCTGCTTCTTATGTATCTAGTCAAAACTATGTTTGAGTAGGACTTGCATAGCTCTCTCTGGAAACATCCTAAATTGCTAATTATTACTTTGACCTGTGTGAGATTTCAGTGAAGCAGCTGCCTCCAGAGCATGCTCTAGAGCTGGGGTGTCAAACTCACTTTCACCAGCCTCACAGTTGCCTTCAAAGGGCCAGATGTAATTTTAAGACTGAATAAATGTAACTACTCCTTAAGAGAGCTCAGTGATGCTGCCAGGTAGAAACAAGGTGTTGGGCCAGATAAAACAGGGTGGAGGGCCAGATTCAGCCTGCAGGCCTTGTGTTTGCCACCTGTGCTCTGGAGCGATCGCACCACACGGCACCTCCAGGGCATGACCTAGAGTGATCACACCACACAGCGCCTCCAGGGCGTCATCTACAGTGATCACACCACACAGCACCTCCAGGGCGTCATCTACAGTGATCACACCACACAGCGCCTCCAGGGCGTCATCTACAGTGATCACACCACACAGCACCTCCAGGGCGTCATCTACAGTGATCACACCACACAGCACCTCCAGGGCGTCATCTAGAGTGATCACACCACACAGCACCTCCAGGGCGTCATCTAGAGTGATCACACCACACAGCGCCTCCAGGGCGTCATCTAGAGTGATCACACCACACAGCACCTCCCTGCTGGGCTTCTCAAATACTGTGAGTTTGTGTTGGCACCATGATAAGAGAAGGGTCAATAACTTTCCCGTTTTTTTAATATTTTATTTTTTATAATAATCTTAAAATATATCAGTGCTGATACCTCTACTTTCCAGCCCAGAAGCCCCTGAACGATATTGCATGTTTCTCAGAGAGCATGGCTGAGAGTCATCTGAGACCCAGCCTCCACTCCGGTGCCCATGAAAGACGCCCAGTGGGGCCTGCTGTCGGGGGAAGGAGAATGTGCCAACACAGGCGTCGGCCTTGCGGAAACATGACCCTGTCAGGTGTACTCAGGCTCCAGGAAGAAATCTAACACCCTTAGACTGTGATTGGTTTCCTCATATTAAATGTTTAAAATTGCTCCCAAGCCCTGCAGTACTATACTTGTAGGGTTTCTCGGACTCTTTCTTTCCTCAGTCTAGGTCCAGTTCTTTAAGTCCCCTAGATTCAATGTTGTTAATCTCAGGGATGAGGTGTGTGTGAGCTGCCATGAAAAGTATGTCCAATCAATGTGTGATGAAAGAATTATTGTGGTCAAAGTCTGTACGTTACAAGACAAAGTACGATGGGATCCTGGTCGTTATCAGCTTTAACTGAGTGGTACAGAGGAGTTTTCTAAGTTGTAAGAAGAATAGTAAATAGGTTCATTCAACAAAATAGAAGAAACAAATGGTAACAGACAAAATACAATAAAATAAAAAAATAGATTCATTGAGACAAAATTCAGCCGGTACCATCAATGCATTAGCACTAAAATGGTGTGATATGATATGGAGAATATGTTTTTACTAAATCCACAAAACAACCAAATGGTAGAATGCCTCACTGCTTTATTTAAAGAAGAATCAGTGTTATTTCTTATGTGCTATACAAGTAGTTGAAAGTGAACTAGCAGTATAACTGTATAGTAATGCTGCCAATCTCCTTCAGACAAATAGAAAGAAAAAGAGAAAAAAAAGAGAGAAGAAAGAAGAATCACTGCTTCATTATTGTATCCAAGGATGATGTAAACCACCTAGAAATTACTGGAACATTTGAAGCACTGGCAAAGCCTTCCAGCTAGAAATGTGCAACTGTACATGAGATGCGCTTACACACTTGGACTCACTGTGCGTTCTAATGGGATTTCAGTTGTGCACGACATACTTGATTTCTTTAGAGTTATTTAGTTCGAAGTTTCCTCTCTGCTCTTATATGTAAGCTCCTCTACTTCTTCCTTTTGGGGAGTCAGGGAACGAAAGGTCCACAGACCTTTCATCATGTCATGTGGATATGCAATTGATATTTACACAAAATAAACAATATGTTTTCCATAAAAATGGGCCTTTGTTACTTTTTGTACTCTGAATGAGCATTCACACACAAACAAACGCAAGTCCCCTACAAATTAACTATGTGCATTTCCAGGAATATTCACCAAAACAATACCATAAGAATTATTCTAGCCTGGATTCCTACCCCTTTAACACACAAACACAACAGCTGTACGCCTGTCAGTGAACTTGTGGGAATACTCTACTATACTTATAAGTACTCATTTGTGCTGCTTACCCATCCCTCTATCTTCTTCTGCATTGTCAGAGACTGCTAAGCCATCCTTTACTACGTCGCCCTGCAGCAACTCCCAGAGACCAATGCTGCATGGCGTATGAAACCTCGCCATTCCTTGACTGGGGCACACAGGAGACTTCTCATGCCTCGGCCCCCTTCACTGTTGGGCAAAGCCACATGACCAATGGGCTGTGGGAAGGAGGGAATATCATTTCTGGGATGAAGCTCCAAAAAGCCCAGGGGGCATCTTCCAGGGTGACGAGGGGGCAGCCTACTCCAGATGGTGCAGCTGTGAGACGGTGCAGCTCCGTATCATGGGTTTCTAGGTGACTGTGTGGAGCAGAGCCTCCTGCCAATGTGGGTGGGACATATAACCAGAGCTAGAAATGAAGGTTACTGTGTGAGAACACTGAGCTTGGGGGTTGCTTGTTTCTACCGTATTCTAAGGAATCCCATGACTGTAGCTGGCATTGTTTCGAAGCCACTTGGAGCAGGTATTCTCCCTATAAATGTTCTGCACACTCTCAGCAAGCCCCACTTTCCAGCCCTGGGGAAAGACACATGAATTTAGTCGCAAAGACCCAGAACTCCTCCAGGACATGCCTTCTACCTCAAGAAATACCCGCTTCTGCTGGCCCGCCTCACACACCTGTCCTGCTTTACCACAACGCGCTCAGGGGCATTCTGGGAAGACAATCGCAGGTAATCGCAGTGCAGCCAGGACTCACTTCCAGGAGCCTCCTCCCAGGAAGCGTCTGCCCAGACACCGGCTCCCTCAGGACAGTATCCTCAGCTGGCCTCCTGGCGGCTCTCCAGCCCATTCAGTGAGTTCAATGCACAGCCAGTTTTTCCAAACAGCAGACTGAGACTCACCTCAGTGCCTACTAGAGGTGCCACTTTCTGCCTCTCTTCTTAAGGAAACACTGGTATTTCTGCATTTCTCTCTCTTCTACCATAAAGGAATCAACCACTTCCCACTGAGAGCCGAAGCTGAAGGCTGAAATGCGGTCCTGAGGTCACCAGGACGATCTCGTAGCTGTGCCATCTCTTCCGGCGCAGGCGAGTCCCATGCAGATGCTGACAACTCACCCTCTTCCAGGCTCCACTTCTGATTTTCCAGGGTTTCCTTGTCGGCGGAAGCCTGCCCCCTCCTGTTATTTTTAGATTTGATTTTACTTTAAGAATATCAAGGGCCAGGGGTGAGGATGGGGAGAATTTTTTTTTCTTTTTAATTAGAAGCAGACGACAAAGACAACTCAGTCATGGAAAATAATAAGAGTCATAATGTCTTGCTGGCTCCCATTTGTGTATTTCCTCCATCAGCCACAACTGAGAAGAGAAGCAACAACGCTAATTGAGTCTTCTCTGCCTTTTCTAGAAGGTACACATTGTCTAAGCAGATGGCTACCAGGATTCCATTAGAAAACTGCACATGCTATTCTTGCCTTTCCAGTCCCATTCACAGAAGGGTTGTATTTTGGAGCTGGAAGGACGCCTGACTGTGTGTTCTAAAGGGAGGGGCCCAAGGCCAAGGGCAGTCAAGTGGGGGGGTGACTGGGAAGATCCAACCTACTCTCCATTCTTACCTCTCCATCACTGGGCCTGTCTATTGAATCCATGTTTCTCAGCTGCCCTGATAGTCAAAATAGACCAAGAGCTCCTTCAGATGAGGCCCCTGCCTTGTATGTTCTGTTCCCCAAGTTCTCAGGAACTTGCAGGACAGACAACTGCTCATGGTGAAGCAACGGCTTTCACTCAGTCTTCCACATACTCTTTTTTTAGTTTACCTCCTTTCTAATTTTTTCTCTCTGTCAGCCAAATCTAGTCTTGTGCACACTCTATGAACTTGGATGTTTGTGTGCTCGCCTGTTTGTTAACTCAAAGACAGTTTAATTCCAGATTTTCTGCCAATACTTTATTTACAGGTAAATTCAGCCTTCAAAGTTGCATTATTCAATGCATTTACAGTGAAGACATTCTAGTATTACACACAGTAATTGAAAAGTCCCACTGTCTGTGTGCAGGTAACTCACATGGAACAGAACACAGCACTCGCTGGGGCCGTGGCATGGGATTGGGTTTTGTATTGTCAGACTCTTGCCTTTCTTCCTTGTTTCTTCAAATATAAGAAGGCCAGGGGGTGAGAGTGACCAGGTAAAAGCATTTACAGGTAGGTCATCCACGAGACGAAGCCAAGGATGGCCTTGAAGACACACAGGTGTGGTTACACCTGTGCCATACGGCACAGCAAAAGCGCATGCTCCGGAACCCCGTCCTGCCCACGAGGAAAATAAGGACTCTCGTCGTCAAAGATGGGAACCCTAACCACCTGTATTTTCCCACATACAATGTGCACTTTTTGCCCAGACTTTTGTGGGAAAATAATAAGGATGCACATTATACATGGGCAGTACTAATTCTGTATCTATATAAAATGCTTTTAATTCTTTTCAAAATTTCTTGTACCTTGTACCTGTTCTTGTGTTTTGTAATTATTTGTTACATAAAATTTCTCATATTATAATGTGTTCAAAAATAAATGCTAAAATTCCTTTAGAATACAAAAAAAACAAGTATCTAAATATAAACAAATTAAGAAATTGAAACATTCAGGGTTTTTTATTCAAAACTTTGAGCCAAAACTGTAGGTGTGCATTATACATGGCAAAATAAAGTAGCTTGAGAAAAAAGGAAAATATTATTAGAAGGTTGATATCCTCATCTGGGAAGAGCAGAGATGCTACTGGGCATCAGAGACAGCTGGGACCCGGCTGGGACCAGGGACAAGCCCCCAGAGTGCCCTTTTCTCCGCAGCTTTCTCTGAGTCAGTATTATTTCTCCCAGGCCAGCCGTGTCTACACAGTGAAGCCATGAGCTCTCCCTCATCTCCAGTGTAACCGTCAAGGACAGATTAGCCTCCTCTCCCCAGTTCCAGTTGCAAAAAAGCTCCAGTGAATGATGTGTTTGGCCTGACGAGGGCCACGTGCCTCCTCCTACCCCCAGGCATCGGAGGTCTTTCTCAGAAGAGGGAAAGTTGTTAAGGCCTCCACAGTGGACTTAATTCTTGTCTACCAACCTGTGCAGCAACAGGCAGCTGCCTGCACTTCTCTGAGCCTCATGAAATGAAAAAGTTGGAACATAGCAAAATAATACCTTCTTCAAAGAGCCGTTGGTCATTTTATGTAGATAACCCATGTCAAAGGCTAGTGCAGTGTCTGGTATATATGAAACATCAGTAACATTCATTTTTTATTTCAAGGCGAGTGTTGAAGTCAAGGAAGAAGTCTGCAAGTTCAAATAGAGAGGAAAATGATTTGGAGCACAGGACACTACATGGGAACTGCTATACAATTCAGAGTAAGAGGCACTACAGGAGTTGTTAAAAGGACAGTAATTGAGCCTTCAATCATTCCCACTCATAAATCACCCACGAGATCTATATTCTGGAAAAAGGGGGGCCAGAGTTAGCTATTGGGAACCTATATTGTCAAGATGACCAATTAATCTTCAGCTTGTGAGACACTCTTTGCTCTCGAGGGAAAGACTATTTCAGTCAAGTAACACGTTAGTGCCCAGGTAAAGAGCGCTGTGAGAGATTTGACGCTGATGAACCCTGAGGGACAGACACTGGTTTGCAGGTGTTCCCTCTTTGTCTTTTTGGAGTTAGGCCAGTGAACATGCCTAGCTGTGCAAGGATAAATTGAATTGATTACTAGTAGTTCTACAAAAATATCCCCCATGTTGTCTTCTCATACATCTCATCCTTAAGATTTTTAAAATTTTTTTAATTTAATTTATTTACTTTCAGAGAAAGGAGAAGGGAGGGAGAAAGAGAGGGAGAGAAACAGCAATGTGAAAAAGACATACTGATTGGTTGCCTCTCACACGTCCCCAGCTGGGGACCTAGTCTGCAACCCAAGGATGTACCCCGACTGGGAATTGAACTGGCAACCTTTTGGTTTGCAGGCCAGCACTCAATCCACTGAGCTACACTAGCCAGGCTCATCCTTAAGTTTTATCAGAGAAAATAGACCTCATATTATACACTTCTTAAGTAATATTACTACACCAGTGGAGCACCGAAATCAATAGATCATAAAATTTCCAGTTTTTTCAAAGCTTAGAGAATTTAGTACATCCAAGTTTTGGCTTTCCTTTTTTTTTTTTTTTTTTTTTTTTGTATTTTAATCAATTTGACTCACACCAACATCTGTTCTTGTAAAATAACATGAAGTACAATGTCTGCATGATGGCACAGAATCAAACTTCACCCCCTCTCCTTGTTTCTCATCCCTTTTCTCGATGGTCCTCACCCATGTCCTCTGTCCCTCCAACTGGTAAATAACTATGTCTGACAACTCACTAGAACTCAGCTGCCTCAGGTC